AAAAAAAAAAAAAAAAATCTGAAAGTTTCTGAGTGCTGACAAGATGCTCAAAGCAGACGCTCACTAGAGCATTTTGGATTTGGGATTAGGGATGCTCAACTGGTTAAGTATCTGGAAATATTCCACAATCTGAAATACTTCTGGTCCCAAGCATTTTGGATAAGATATACTCAACCTACACGGGCAAACCAATATACCATTTAGGAATGTAGAGAGAACACCTGTCTTGGAGGTAAGGAAAGGCTAAAATTGAACACAGTTTGGCTTCCTTTAATTATCAATCCAGAAATGATTCATTTGCCTCTGAGACCCCTATGAGTTCAGGTTCCAAGGTAATGCCTCTGAATACCTAGAGATCTGTAATAGTAATTAATTGTGGTGTGGCGTCTCTAAACTGTTAATCATTTTCAAAGGCCCACTAGAAATCATGTACATTAAGCAGTATAACAGGGCATATCCTAACATCAGTTATTTTTAAAATTCAAAATTAAATCATACCATTAATGTGATAACCCAGATTATCTCAGTTATGTACACACCAGATTGAATTTTATTTACTTTCTTTGAGACGAAGTCTTGCTCTGTCGCCAGGCTGGAGTGCAGTGGCACGATCTCTGCTCACTGCAAACTCTGCCTCCCGGGTTCGAGCAATTCTCCTGCCTCAGCCTCCTGAGTAGCTGGGACTACAGGCGCGCACTACCATGCCCAGCTAATTTTTGTATTTTTAGTAGAGACAGGGTTTCACCATGTTGGCCAGGATGCTCTCGATCTTTTGACTTCGTGATCCGCCTGCCTCAGCCTCCCAAAGTGCTGGGATTACAGGCATAAGCCACCGTGCCCAGCCTCTTTTACTTATTTTTTGAGACAGGGTCTCACCCAGGCTGGAGTGCACTGTCACTATGTTGGCTCACTGCAACCTCTACCTCCCAGGCTCAAGAGATCCTCCCGCCTCAGCCTCCCAAGAAGCTGGGACTACAGGCATGTGGCACCAAGCCCAACTATTTTTGCATATTTTTTTGGTAGAGATAGAGTCTTGCCATGTTGTCCAGGCTGGTCTTGAACTCCTAGACTCAAGCGATCTGCCCACTTCAGCCTCCTCAAGTGCTCAGATTAAAGGGGTGAGCCATTGCACCAGGCAATGGCTTGCACCAGCCATTGCACCAGATTAAATTTTAAAGGGGAAAAAGATATTTATGAAATGGAAACTAGATAAGAGAAAATCATTCAAAATGTGGAGTATCTGGATTAGGGTGTCAGAGTGTCTAGACTGGTAGGTACAAAAAAATCCCTGATCATTACATTAGAAAAGTATGGAGATGGCATCTCAGATAACTAAATTATCTGACTATTCCTTAAACTACCAGTGTTTTCAACAATGCCACAGGAAAGACTTCATCAACAGCCCCGCTCTGAGAAGTCATACCTTGTGTCAAGCAATCTTGTCTTTTCCCCTGGGTTCTGTCCTGCCAACCCACTGACCCTATTTTCTTAACTCCAAATTGGGAATCATCATTCAGCTGGCAGCAAGACAAAATGTCAACTGCAGCTGTCCTGACTACTCTGGGACATAAGTTCACGGCACCTTCTTGACAGCAGCCATCTCTGCGTGCCACACCCCTCATCCCCACCTTGACTTGTCCTTCCCTACCTGACTTCCACTTCCGGCTTGTTGTGTCGTTCCACAACCTGGGAGGAGAAGTTCTCCAGGCAGAGGGCAGCCTGCAATGTGGCCCGCACGGCACTCAGGTAGGGGCGGAGAGTGGCAGTCTATAGGAAATAACACAAAGGGAAGGGAAGATCAAACTCTGTCATGCCAAACCCACTGATCCCCTATTCCAGCTCCCATGAAGCCAGGTAGCACTGAGGGTGCAAGGCTCTTAAGACACCACTGTGAACAGAACAAACTAGGCCTTCGAGACGCCTTCCAAGGTGCAGAGTCATGGTTTTCAACAGGAGGCAATTTTGCCTCCCAGGGTACATTTGGCAATGTCAAGACATTTCCTTTCTTTCTTTTTTAACCTGGGGTCACACCAGACGAATGCTGAGACATTTTCAACTGTCATGACTTGGCGGGGAGGCGAACTGCAGGCACTGAGTGGACAGATATCCAATAAACATACTACAATGCACTACAAAGAATTATCGAGTCTCAAATATCAAAAGTGCTGAGGTTGAGAAAGTGATCTAGAGACATACCAGTGAATGCATGATTGTCTTCAATCTATTAGGCCAACAAATGTATACACTGTTTGCCAGGCACTGAGCTAACTGGGAATTCAAAGATGATTAACACTGTCTCTACCCTCAAACAGCTCAACTGGATAGCAGATATACAGAAAATAACTATGATATAAAGATAAAATGTTGAAATATTTAGATTTACAAGTAATCTATATTTGCAGAAGAAACTGGTTTTGAAAGTGAAATGGGATTAGGAGGATTTTATAATGAGAAAAAGTAGAGTAAGGACATTCTTTTTTTTTTTTTTTTGAGACAGACTCTTGCTCTGACACCCAGGCTGGACTGCAGTGGCACGATCTCGGCTCACTGCAAGCTCTGCCTCCTGGGTTCATGCCATTCTCCTGCCTCAGCCTCCCAAGTAGCTGGCACTACAGGCGCCCCCCACCACGGCTGGCTAATTTTTGTATTTTTAGTAGAGACAGGGTTTCACATGTTAGCCAGGGTGGTCCTGATCTCCTGACCTTGTGATCCACCAGCCTCAGCCTCCCAAAGTGCTGGGATTACAGGTGTGAGCCCCACACTTGGCTAGAATAAGGACATTCTTAGTAGAGGGATTAGCTTCTAGATGTACTGGTCAGTCTTATATCAGCCAAATTCTTTCCCACCTCAGGGCTTTACACATGCTTGACCATCTATTTGTAGGCTTTTTTCCTCTTTCTTTGCCTAGGTCATCCTCCAGATCTCAGCTTAATTAAGGAAAGCCTCTTAGGCCTTCACTTCCGCCTACAAAGCATTTATTACAATTTACAATAAAATGTCTTTCATATCTTTTTAATTTTTATTTATTTATTTATTTTGAGACAGAGTCTCGCTTCTGTTGCCCAGCCTGGAGTGCAGTGGCGCGATCTCTGCTCACTGCAATCTCCGCCTCCTGGGTTGAAGCCTTTCTCCTGCCTCAGCCTCGCGAGTAGCTGGGATTACAGGTGCACACCACCATGCCCGGCTAATTTTTGTATTTTTAGTAGAGATGGGGTTTCACCATGTTAGCCATGGTTGTCTTCAAATCCTGACCTCAGGCAGTCCGCCCACTTCAGCCTCCCAAAGTGTTGGGATTACAGGCGTGAGCCAATGTGCCTGGCCTTTATTTTATTTTATTTTATTTTTGAGACAGAGTCTCACTCTGTTGCCCAGGCTGGAGTGCAGTGGTACAATCTTCGCTCACTGCAACCTCCACCTCCCGGGTTCAAGTGATTTACCTGCCTCAGTCACGCAAACAGCTGAGATTACAAGTGTGCAGCACCGTGCCTGGCTAACTTTTGTATTTTTAGTAGAGACAGGGTTTTGCCATGTTGCCCAGGCTGGTTTCAATCTCGTGACCTCAAGTGATCCGCCCATCTCGGCCTCCTAAAATGCTGGGATTACAGGCGTGAACCACTGCACCTGGCCTCCTTCATGCCTTTGTAAAGTGATTTCTCCTTTATTAGGCTGTAAACCTCGTGGTCAACAGACCATATTTATTTTACTCACAGCTATATAGCCTCCAACCTAGCTCAGTACGTAACATGTAGAGTGTCTTACTCATTTCCTGTAGAATAAATGAGCAAAAGAAATAATTAAGGTTAGAGTAACACAAAAGGACAGCAAGAGTTCCAGAGTAGTAATGAGTACAATGTTTCTGTATATGAGAAGCATTTTAGATTCACTAAATGAGGCTACAGTGGTAGACTGAGGTCAGATCATGGGGAATCTTGAATGCCAGGCTACCAAGTTTAGCTTTTCTCTTAAGGGGGTAAGGAACTACTGGGGCTTTCTGAGGAGGAAGTTCATGACTGCAGCTGCATGGTAGCTCTGTGAAGAATGATTTGGAGAGGGAAGTGAGACATACAGCAGACTGTGTCACAAGCAAAGAGTATCACAAGTGTTGGACTGACATTAGATGGAGTGGATAATGGAACTGAAAAACAACTTCCCAGGGGCTTATGCCTGTAATCCCAGCACTTTGGGAGGCCGAGGTGGGTGGATCACCTGAGGTCAGGAGTTCAAGACCAGCCTGGCTAACATGGCAAAACCCTGTCTCTACTAAAAATACAAAAAAATTAGCCACGACGGGTGCCTGTAATCTCAGCTACTTGGGAGGCTGAGGCAGGAGAACTGCTTGAACCCAGAAGACTGAGGTTGCAGTGAGCCGAGATCTGGCCACTGCACTCCAGCCTGGGCGACAGGGAGAGACTGTGTCTTTAAAAAAAAAAAAGAAAAAAACAACTTCCAACGAACTGTGGTCCAGTCATTCAATTAAATACTACTTAGCAATAAAAAAGAGTAACTATTGATACACACAACATGGTTGACTCTCACATGTACTATGGTAAGAAGGTACACTTAAAAGCCTGCATACTAAAGCATTCCATTTACATGACAATCTGAAAAAGGCAAAACTATAGGGGTTAAAAAAACCAGTGGTTGTCAGGGGTGGGAAGGAGGAAAGGTGTGATTACAAAAGGGCTCGAGGGAATTTTTTGGGGTGATGGAAATATTCTGTATTTTGGTTGTAGTAGTGGTTACATAACTTGACTTTTTTTTTTTTTTAAAGACACAGGATCTTGCTATATTGTCCAGGCTACAGTGCAGTGGCTATTCACAGGCGTGATCACAGGGTACTACAGCCTCGAACTTCTGGGCTCAAGTGATCCTCCTGCCTAAGCCTCCTGAGCGGATGGTACTACAGGTGCATGCCACCATACCCAGCAAGTTTTTGTCAACACTTTTTTTTTTTTGAGATGGAGTCTCGCTCTGTCGCTGGAGCGACAGGCTGGAGTGCAGTGGCACGATCTTGGCTCACCGCAAGCTCTGCCTCCTGGGTTCACGCCGTTCTCCTGCCCCTGCCTCTGCCTCCCGAGAAGGTGGGACTACAGGCGTCCACCACCACCCTCCCGGCTAATTTTCTGCATTTTTAGTAGAGAAGGGGTTTCACCGTGTTAGCCAGGATGGTCTGGATGGCCTGACGTCGTGATCCGCCCACCTCGACCTCCCAAAGTGCTGGGATTACAAGCGCGAGCCACCGCGCCCGGCCTTTGGCAATAGTTATAGACAGTAAACCTAAAAAAGGTGACTGGCTCCGTGACGCCTGTCCTTTCATGAATAAAACAGACGTAGTCTCATGCAATACCTCAATAAACTTAAATTTTTAAAAATCAAGACGCATGTGCTCCATTAGAAAAAAAAAATCCAGATTTCTAGCAGAGATACGAGTTCACAAAGTTTGCCAGGATAGGGAATTCAGGAGGAAGAGCAAATTTAGAATGGAAGATGAGTTTTGAACTAGAGGTGTAATTTCACGGTCTCTTCAAGATACCCAGGCAAACCTTGAAAGAGAGCTGAGAAGCCAGATTAGGAGTCATCAGAGTGAAGAAAGTCATCGAAGCCAGCAGACTAGATCGGTATCACCAGGGAAGGTGTGACGATGAGGGAGGTGGTCATCCAAAGTCACAACTCCCAAGAATACCCACATGTATGAAAAAGGGAGGACTTTCAGGAAGGGAGGGATGAGCAGTATCAGCTAACAAACACTAGGGCTGACACAGTTCAGTTCTGACCAGGAGGGGCCTGAATGGAAGCAACACGAGAGATCCTCCAGTGGGGTGGAAGCAGGGCTGGAGGTACCAAGAGTGGGATAAGGAAGTGTGGCCGCCTGCCTTAAGCAACTGTAGGGTCAGGAAGGCAGAAGACAAAGGGCGTATTTAGTGAAGCCCTACTGTGGATAGGCAGATGGACCCGCTACATGCCTCAGCGGCCCTTCGACGGGTTAAGAGGCCGACTACGTACCCTCGAAACGCTCCAAAGAGCCTAGGAAGCCCCACTTCCAGCTTCCTCCAGGGCTCAGTAAAAGCCCCTACCTGCTTGGAAGGCTGATCGCGAAGCCGCAAGGCCCGCTTCAAACCAGGGAGTACCCCTACTCGCCCCTTTCTCACCTCGGGCCCCCGCCCTCTTTCTCCCGCCCTCATGGTGTCCCCACAACCCCCCGGCATCCCTCAGCCCCGCACCCCTGCGGCAAAGCCACATCGCCCACCGACCCACTGCCCTGAGGCTGAACAGCTGGGGGTCCCTGGCCGGGGGCCCGGCTCTCTCACCATCGCGGGCGCTGGCTGGGCCGGAAAGCGGAAGTACGGAAGTGGCCAGCCCCGCGATGCCTGCCCTTTCGCGAGAAGCGCAGCCGCTGTCTCCGCCCGGACTTCCGGATGGTACCATCTATGCCCTGAGCGGGATAGGGAGCCCTTGCGAACGCTTGGCCCTTCCGGAAGTTTTCCACCTAGGGCTGTCCGGTATCTTTAAACTCTTGCACTCGAGTCACTACTTAAGCTTCTCCAGGAATGGGAGCAGCTCCCCTTTGTGCCTTCGGCCTTGTTACCTTTGCCACAGCCTCCCCCCAGGTATGCAATGGTACAGCCCAGCTTCAGATTGGGCACCAAATTAGGACAAGCTGAAGCGGAGGAGCCCTTCGTTTCTTCCGGTTCTGTGCCCCCATCCTTTCTCTCGCCCCTCCTACCCGCAGCTCCTGGGGCTCAGCGGCGCTAACTGCAGCGCCGAGATCTCCGCCGCCAAGCCCCGCCTCCCGCCCCGGGCTATGCCCTGGGGCGCGCCTGAGGCCAACCACCCAGACCCCACCTCTAGCGGGCTTGCTCGAGGCCCACCTTCTCCCCACCCCCGGCAAACTTCAGTAGGCTCGCCATCGCTGACTCCCCGCCCCCGCGTCAACTGCAAGGGGCCCGCCCATAGCCAGTTCCGGGGCGGTTGCTCCCATCGACCGGAACTCCCCGCCCCCTCCCGCGGCCCTGGGGCCGTAGGAGGCCGCAGTGAGGAGGTAGAGGGGGCGGGGGTCGCGCTAGGGTGTCCCTAGAGAACGAGGACTCTGAAGGCGGGACATTTGGGCGACCCCCGGGCGGGGCCAGCCATTAAATAGTCCCATTTCTGTGCCAGACACTGAACTGGGCTCTTGACGGGCATCATCTCTTAATCCTCAGAACATCCCAGGGAGGTAGGTACCGTTGTTATCCCCATTTTTCAGATTCAGACTTTTAATGGGGAAACAGACCGAGACTTCTTTTGTTCCCATTTTACAGATGGAAAAACTGAGACTCAAAAAGGTTAAACAACATGTTCAGGGGCACATAAGTAGAGAATGGTAAAGCCTGGACTTGAACCCGGGTCTGTCTGGCTTACCAGCCCACGTTCTAAACCACTGTTAGTGACTAGAGAAGGGAGAAAGGTGGAGTAGGATAAGAAAAGAGGCCAAGAGTCCCAGAGAACATGGTTAAGAATGGGGTGCTTGGAACTCAAAGTCTTAGCAGAACCCAAGAGAAATAGAAGGGAAGGAAAGAGCATCAGAAAGGCAAGGCAATGCATAGTAATACAGCATGGTGATCAGGGGTGCAGACTCAGTATAGCGGGGTTCAAATTGCATCTTGGAAGCATAGGCACATACCCACCCTTACAGAGTCTCAGTTTCTTTCTCTGTAAAGAGATCACAACGGTCCTTGTTCATGGTGCTGAGTGAGAAATTAAGTGAGATAAGCTGATAAAGTGCTTTGCGCCTAGCTTGGTACACAGTTAAGTGCCCTGTGAGTAGGAACTGTGTCATCAATTTTGTCAGTAAGGGACTGAAGCCTGGCTTGCTTGAGACTGTCCCTGGAGGTAAGAAGCCCTTGGGCTTTTCTCAAACCACTTTGTCTCCCATCAATGGCCCTGTCCTCTCCAGCCCCACAGGATCCCCATATCCTGGGCCATGAGTGAGTTGAAAGACTGCCCCTTGCAGTTCCATGACTTCAAGTCTGTGGATCACCTGAAGGTCTGTCCCCGCTACACGGCAGTGCTGGCGCGATCCGAGGATGATGGCATCGGCATCGAGGAGCTGGACACCCTGCAGCTGGAGCTTGAGACCCTGCTGTCTTCTGCCAGCCGGCGCCTGCGTGTGCTTGAGGCCGAAACCCAGGTGATACCCCAGAGAGGGGCCATCACCAGAGATGGACTGCAACAAGTTATGGGATGGGTCATTGAGTTAGCTCCATATGCTGAAACCTGGGATACAGGGGTTTGTGGGGAGAGGGAGAGAGACCCAAACTGGGTTTGCATGACACAAAAAATACACAAGAATATGCATGATCCTCTTAAATTGCAAGATTTCTAATTCGGTACACTTTTATTGGCATCCCCCCCACCCATCCCCCATTATGTTCTGGGTTCTACGCTAGTCATTAGAGAAAGGTAATTAGGACAGTTTTGGCTGTCAAGGAGCTTGCCAACTAGGAAAGGGAGAAAGTCAGGTGCATACCAGGTGATGTGATGTTGTGGTTAGGAGTCCTAGGGAACTGGAATGGGGAGACCTGGATTTGAATCCTGGCATAAGCACTTGCTAGCATTGCTGTTTCCTAGCTGTATGACTTTGAGAAAGTTTTCTCATCTCTCCGAGTATCAGTTTCCCTATCTGCAAAGTGGGGTGAATAATAGGACCTACCTTAGTGCTTTTGTGAGGATTAAAAGAGAATTTTTGCAAAAACTCAACCCAGTGCCAGACACTAAGTAAGCACTTCAGGTGTTATTTATTTACTACTCTGATTACTTTATTCACTGCATAAAGATGCCTTCAGCCTTGTGTGCCAGGCGCTATGCTGTATCCTGCAAAATAGAGATGGTTAAGGTGTGCTTTCTGGTCTTCAGTAGCTTATGGTCTAGTTGAAGAAACAAGGTGCGATGGTCATTCCAGTGTGATCAAACAGCATGATTGGGTGCACAGTGGAGGTGTGAAGTGCCAGAGACTTGTAGAGGAAGGAGGTGCCAACTGGACCTAAAAGGATGAATGGAATTAACTTGTCCCTGGGAATCCATGGAAGCTTCTTGAGGAAGGTTATGACTCAAGTTGTATTTTAGCATCTAAGAACCTGGGTAACTGATTCAGAGAAGGCATCTCAGTGGTGGTGACATTGAAGTGAAGGTTTGCTGGGAGGACTCTTCTGTTAAACAATATGTGACTGGCATGGGTGATAAAGAAGTGAATCAAAAGCACAGATGAACAAGTGAATGAGATGATGAGAAGTATATGAATAAAGTCGTAAGAGGCCAGGCACAGAAAATGAGCTAAATTTTGAAGGATGAGTAAGAGTTTACTAGGTAAAAAGAGGATGGGGAAAGACCCAGGAGATTCCTTAGATTCTAGATCCTAATTTATTCACTAGAGGAAAGAAATATTCTTTGTTTTCCCTTCTCCCCCTCAGTGACAGTTTCTGTACATTTCAGATCCTCACCGACTGGCAGGATAAAAAAGGTGACCGACGATTCCTGAAGCTGGGTCGAGACCATGAACTTGGAGCTCCCCCGAAACATGGAAAGCCCAAGAAGCAGAAACTGGAAGGGAAGGCGGGACATGGGCCGGGCCCTGGCCCAGGACGGCCCAAATCCAAAAACCTTCAGCCCAAGATCCAGGAATATGAATTCACTGATGACCCTATCGACGTGCCACGGATCCCCAAAAATGATGCCCCCAACAGGTTCTGGGCTAGAGAACATAGAAGGGGGCCTCAGAGTTCTGGTGGTGGAGGCGTTGGTGGGGCAGGGGTACCCACTGAGGATCTGCTTCTCCCTGCAGGTTCTGGGCTTCAGTGGAGCCCTACTGTGCTGACATCACCAGCGAGGAGGTCCGCACACTTGAGGAGCTACTGAAGCCCCCAGAAGATGAGGCTGAGCATTACAAGGTAGAAACTCTGGGCCTTGATAGACATGATGCAGAACAAGAGAGTTCAGAGGTGGCTGAGAATTAAAGCTACCAAAGCCATGCATCATCTTCCTTCCCCCATCCTGCCCAGCCTCCTATCTGCTCCATCAATGTATCCAGACACCCAGGTCCAAACTGAGCTTTCTTTGTGTGCTGCCTCCCCTCTACCTGAGCCAGATGTCACCATGCCCTCAAGCTTAAGTAAAGTGTGCCCGTGTTCCTTTATCTCTGTCCCTTTGCTTTGGTCCAAGTCTTCATCAGCTTCTATACAAACAGCCCCTTAACTCTGTTCCTGCTTTGAGGCCTCTGGAGGAACCTTTCTTCTTTCTTTAAGATGTAAAGCTTGGGCCAGGTGCAGTGGCTCATGCCTGCAATCCTAGCACTTTGGGAGGCCGGGGCAGGCAGATGGCCTGAGCTCAGAAATTCGAGACCAGCCTGGGCAACATGGTGAAACCCTATCTCTACTAAAATACAAAAAATTAGCCAGGCATGGCGGTGTGCACCTGTAGTCCCAGCTACTTGGGAGGCTGAGTCAGGAGACTTTCTTGGACCTGGGAGGCAGAAGTTGCAGTGAACTGAGATCACGCCACTGCACTCCAGCCTAGGCAACAGAGCAAGACTCCGTCTTTTAAAAAAAAAAAAAAAAAAAAAAAAGTAAGTCAGCTCACACCTGTAATCCCAATACTTTGGGGAGGCTGTGGCAGGCAGATCACTTGAGGTCAAGAGTTCAAGACCAGCCTGACCAACATGGTGAAATGCTGTGTCTACTAAAAATACAAAAATTAGCCAGGCATGGTGGCGTGCACCTATAATCCCAGCTACTCAGGAGACTGAACCAGGAAAACCGCCTGAATCGGGGAGTCATAGGTTGCAGTGAACCAAGATCGTGCCACTGTATTCCAGCCTGGGTGACAGAACGAGATTCCATCTCACAAAAAAAAAAAAAAAAGAAGATACGAAACTGTATGTTTTAATGATGAAAATAAATAAAACATGCTCCATTAAAGAATATTTAGAAAATACAGAAAAATGTTGAGGGAGAATACTCCCATAGGTCAGCTGTCATCAGATGTGCTCATGACATGGCACTGCATCTAGGCCTCTCTTCATCCCGTTATCTACAGGATCAAGTCCATGCATCCCAGTCCTTGGTGGCAGAGCTCCAGTGCCCCTCTCCATTTTCCTCGGCCATACCCCTCTTCATTGCTGTGTTGACCAGTCCCACCAAGTACCTTGCCCTCATTCCAGGACACCACAGCCTCCTTGCTGGTCTCTGGGCCCCTCTGGCAAGCTCTTCTCTCCCTCTTCTCTCCCTGATAGACTTGACTCACCCTCCAAGGCCCTGATCTCATGTTACCTCCACCAAAGCACCCTTTCAGATTCCCCAGCAGAAAGTTAGTCTTTCCTTTGTGCTGCCACAACACTTTGATCTGTCTCTTTCACTTCACTTACCTTTTTAAAAATTTATTTGAAAAAGAGTTCATACAGACAGCAGTTAATTCAAGCAATATAAAAGGTAATTCCCTGTCACCCGTGACCTGAAGGCTCCTAATTCTCTCGAGAGGTAATTGATGTGACCTGAGACAATCCGTGTATGTAGAGTATTCTGCACCTTCTATCTTGGGAATTGTTTCAGATTGGCTTCTGTGTGTGTGTTTTAGTCCTTTTTGGACCTGTCTCCTTTACTAGAGTGTGAAGTAGAGGTATCTTCTTTATACTTTCTTACCTATACCTGACACTGGGCTTGGCCTTGGACTAGGGACTTGAGAGAGAGATAAGACAGATAAGTGAATGAATGAATGAATGAATGAAGCATGGCTGGCCAGTGCTTACCCACTCAGGGTTGGGTGCCATCTTTTTCACAGATCCCACCCCTGGGGAAGCACTACTCCCAGCGTTGGGCCCAGGAGGACCTGCTGGAGGAGCAGAAGGATGGGGCCCGGGCAGCAGCCGTGGCTGACAAGAAGAAAGGCCTCATGGGGCCACTGACTGAACTGGACACTAAAGGTAGGCCTCTCACCTCCCTGCCAACCCCAGGTCAGGACTTGAGTTCCAGAACTTCAGCCCACCTGCCCTCCTTTCCTGTGCCCACTTAGATGTGGATGCCCTGCTGAAGAAGTCTGAGGCCCAGCATGAACAGCCGGAAGATGGATGCCCCTTTGGTGCCCTGACACAGCGCCTCCTGCAGGCCCTGGTGGAGGTGCGCACCCTAACCCAAAACAGGAACCACATTTACTTTGTGTTTTAATGTGTTATATTTATTTTTTATTGGAGTGTATCATACATTTATTAGGTTGGTACAAAAATAATTAGGTTGCTGCAAAAGTAAAAACCTGGACTAACACATAGCAAAAGATTGGGAATAATACGTAACTTTTGCACCAACCTAATAGAGAAGTGCACAGATCATAAATGTACAGTTTTCACAAATGAGCTTGTATTAGCAGCCTGGAGATTACAAAATGAAACATTACTATATCCTAGAAGGCCCTCTCATGCCCCTGTTTTTCTCCAACTTCCCCCAAAGATAGCCTCTACTCCACAATTAACTTTTGCTAAGCATCTGTTGGAGGGGCTTTATACACATCCTCCCACTGGAGGCCAGGACAGTGGTTAACCCTGTGTTACAGATGAGAAGATTAGAGGCTCAGAAAAGGGAACTGTTCACTTGAGGTCTCACACAGCAGGATTCAAACCCCTACTTCGGGGTCCCTGTCTTTATACCTGCTGGTTGACCTTAGACACACCCTCATACTCTTTCACCTCATTGAGACTCAGTTTTCTTTTCTGGCTCAAACACAATAGTTTCTCTCGTGTAACAGTCTGGGTACATGTTCTAGGTTATCTAAGGTAGGGGAAGGGGCATATCATCAAACAGGAATCCCAGCTGATGGTGGCCTTGCAGTCTGTACAGGGTCACTCTGGGCATAATTGTCACTCCAGTCCCACAGAATAAGAGCAAGGAGGAGTGTGTGAAGGAAACTTTTTGGGCCATGCCTAGCTGTGGCTCTTATTTCTTCTGATCGCTTTCCCCTGGAGAGAATCTGTCACATGACCATACCTGCCTGCAAGGGAGCCTGGGAAATGTAGTGCAGCTGGAGAGGCATTGCCTAGCTGCCATGGAGGAAAGGAGAGTGGTGTTCGGACAGCTAGCACCTCTGCCACAGCAGGCCTAGCACAGTGCCTGGTGCGTTGCAGGCACTTCACAAACCTTGGCTATTCATTACCATCATTGAGTGTTAATCATTTCTCTTCTGTGTTCCTTTTGTTCCTTTTTCTTCATCTCAGTACAAAAATGGATTTCTAGAATGATCAAAGCAATTTGGGATCAGTATGGGAAGGCTTCCCAGAGTAGGTGGGATGGGAAAGATAAAAGGATATTTCTGGTGTTTGAAGACTGTCAGTGTAGGTCAGAAAGGAGCAGGAAAGTGGAACAGCTCTTTTTCCTTCCACCCATTTCTGTGGTCTTCTAGGAAAATATTATTTCCCCTATGGAGGATTCTCCTATTCCTGACATGTCTGGGAAAGAATCAGGGGCTGACGGGGCAAGCACCTCCCCTCGCAATCAGAATAAGCCCTTCAGGTGAGTGGTGTCCTATCCACAACCCACAGTCTGGCGCCCACTTCTGTTGGCTTCTCTCCATCTCAACCTGGGGAGTTCCTCATCAATAAGAGGCTGGGGACAGTTAGGTGAAGCCCAATAGCAGTCTCAAGTGTGAGTGCTGGCCCAATGTGTCTGCATGCACAGACTGAGTGCAGGGTTGTTCAGCACAGAACTGTTCATACCATAAATAAACCAAATGTCCTGCTGAAGGGGAGTGGTTGGCTAAATTGGCATAACTCTATATGATGAAATAACTTGCAACTATTAATCATATAGCTGCAAGTATAGAGAAATATAGGTAAATGACATGAAAAGATGTAAATTATAGAGTGCCAAGTGGGGAAAATGTTAGTTGTAGGCCAGTACAGATACATATTTTTATAATCTTATTTTTACTTAAAATGTATTTCTTTTTCTTTTTTTTTTCTTTTTTTTTTTT